TTGTTATCTTGTTTTTGAGATTCATCATGTCTATTATTGCTGTGTGTTTGAAGCAGAGTAGAACTGTACTTTGAGGTATGAATTTACCAGGCCAACTTGACTATAGGCTTTTTWAAAAAATTAATTTGAAAATAATTTGATCATATATTTTAGATGCTCCTCCCCTTCCTCCTACTCCCAGGTCTTCTGCCTGGAGAGATATTGTGGAGGGTAGAAAAGAGGGAGACTAAAGATAGATAAATTGGAGACCATAGGTAACAAATGACAGGGTCTGAACTAAGAAGAGAATGACTTTAGAATGTATTTAGAGGATGTAATTGATAGACTTGGTTAATTGAATTAGGGGCTATATATGTTCATATTTTTARCTTAGAATGGGGGTATAATTCACTGAGAAAGGAATATGGAAAGAAAAGTAGATTTTGGTGGGACAGTGGGTCAGGAATAGAGACAGGAATATTAAGATGTTTTATAAGTGCTGTTTGAAGACTAATATCTGTTTTTCCTAAAGATCTTACAGTATGTGTCTTTACTAGTGCTGCATGTCAGTGCTCATGACCTTTAAATTTATCAAATTTCCAAATCTCTTTACATGATGTTCAGTTGTAAACTTATATAGATTCCTCCTCAGTATTTGGAAATATTTCCTCAGGATGTTTTCTGTCATGTACTTTTCTTTAATGTCTCTTAAACAGGTATRGTTCTGGCCTTCATAAATGTTATAGTCTAATGGAGGGAAAAGACATTTATCAAATGCACAATTACAGACTACAAGTACTACTATAAGACAATCAAGTATGAGGTGACCAAGTCTGAGACCCAGCTTAGTGTGCAGGGTGGGTGGGTGGTATGCTGGCTGTCAGGGGAATATTTTCCTGAAGAGTGACCTTGGAGCTGTGACTAGTGCCTGCACTCTCTGCTCTTTTGCCCTTGCATGGCTGGCTTTTCCCTACTGTTCAAGACTCAGYTATGTTATCTTCTCAGTATGACTTTTCATGATTGCATCCCAAATTAGTATTTAGCACATCACCTTTCTTTACTTTTTAAAGAACATTTTTATTTTAAGTTACCTAATTTATGCTTATTAGATATTTCAGCCATCTAGAATATAAGTACCAYAAGTATAGGGACTTTTTCTTCTCTTTTTCTTACTTGTGCCCTGAATGCTTAGAAGATTTCCTGAACTTTCTTGAACTTAAGTTCTCAGGAGAATGATTAAATGATTGCATAAATGAAGGTCCTTGGAGACTGAGCTCTTACATAGTTGCCCTAGTAGTTTGTATYTACTTGTCTTTAATGTGGTGTTTGGAAGGACTCTTAAAGTCGGCTTTCTGCTTGATCTCTATTCTATCCTGTTGACCTGACCCTTGACACACAGTGTTCTGATGGGGATTGCCATAGTGATGGGCATGTGACTGTTTCAATCAGGGTCATTCTTCTAGGTACTTCATATTGAAAGGAAGAAAGAGGGACACTTAGGTTGCAGAGTGTGTGATGTGAATCTGGAGCCATTGGTGACTGTATCCACATTCCAGTAGAGAAGGCCAATCTGCAAGAGGAGAAAATGAAGCCATGACACAGACAGGAGTAGAAATGGGAGAGGGAAAGAGAGTCCTGGTAATTTTCTGGTCTCTGCTTCATTTGTGCTTGAGACTTAATCACAACYCCTGGTTTTTCCATGACTTTTGCCTTACCCAGTTCAAATTGAATTTCTGTCACTTAGAGCCAAAAGATTCCTAATTAAAACAATATACAACTTTATTTTCACTTTAAATTGTACCTCAACTAACCTTTTCATCTTGTGCATTTTAGATAATATGGTTAAGTATTGATCTGTTGCATAGTTTCTTATTTCAGAAACACATGTTTTCTGCCTCCCTTCCCCCTTTTATTTCTTTTAATGCAAAGAAGTTGCTTCCTGAATTTATTCTGCTTCCAATACTATTTTGTTTTAGTACTATGTACTCTTTCCTTTATTTTCAGAATTATATTGGTCGGAAGTGAATAGATGCCATCTTATTATTACTATTGTTTATTTAACTAWGGAAGCAGTTTTACTGGGTACTTCTTAGATTTTCAACTTTGATGCTTTAAAACAGCCATTATTGAGTACTGAGCATCTCTAGGGTGACAGAGCAGCAGCCACAGTAGTGGCAGAACTTGGTAAGATGCTCACTCAGGTGATTTATTCCCTATTTCTGGTAAGCTGCTCTAGCCCAGGCTTCCTGGTGCTGCTGCCTGCTACCTTAGGAAGAAGCCCTGGTCTTCCATGGGGAGTCTACACCCCTGTAGCTGCTTTTCTGCTTGGTATATCCCTCCTTGTCCATTAGAACTGTTGATCTGCCCTCAACCCYACCAGTCCTTTACAAATAGCATATTCTACTTGTTCCATAATTTCTAGTTTCTAGTTAGAGGTTTTTCAAGAAATTATGTTAGATMAAACAACTGTATTAGACAGCTAAATTATAAATTGGTCATCAGTATTTTTCATCAATCTGGTTTCATTTATACTCTATCAAGGAGAAAATTGGGGACTTTTTGGTAATTTGTTTCTTTCTTTGGGTCATTGATTTAGTAAATACTTATTGAGCATATGCTCTGTGGCTTCCACTCTCCAGATACTGTTACTAGTTTCTAGAATGAGACTTCCGTGCCTTCCTGGAGCTTATATTTTAGATGAGGAAACAAGAAGTGAACAAATAAATATGCAGTRCTAGGCAGTAAAAAGTGCCAGGGTGAAAAAGCAGGGTGAAGGAATAGAGAGGGATGGGTAGGGCCATTTCAGAGAGAGTAGACAGAAGTGGCTGTGAGGAGATGGAGGTTTAAGTAGAGACCTGAGTGAATCAAGGATCYAGCCATGCAAAGAGTTCATGGCAGAAGCAGCAGCAACACAGGGCTGTAGGAGCTGAAGACAGTAGTTGCAGGATAAGGCTGAATTAGGGGGACGGACTGGGGAAGGGGAAGGAGACAAGCTCCAAAAGTTAAGAATGTGAAAATAAAATAAATAAATAAATTAATTAATTAAAAATACAAAAATTATACCTTCAAAAAATGTGAAAATATATTTTCATGCCTCCAAAATCAAATTGTCAATATCCAAGGGAAGATATTGTACCCAGTGGATAAAATTCATGAAAGCAGACCCTAGAGTAGGATGCTCCTATCTTTCTTTCTTTCTTGTCTTTCATGTGATACTGGGTGGTAACCCAAAAACGTGGAATTTTTTTGTTAGGAACTATAAATTAATCATAGGAAATTAAGGATGTTTAGAATGCTAGGGTTGAAGCAGTTAAAAAAGAAGTTTGGAAGGAAGAAATGACTATGAAGTGATATTAGATAAAGTAATCTTGGGAAAGATGACAATATGAACAAAGGTTTCTGASACTGTCCTTATTAATCCTTAATGAAACCTCTGGCAGTTAGAGAACATCTTTGGCCTCCATTATCTAAATATATCCTGGATTTGACTATTTCTCACCACTTCCACTGCTAGTAAATTATAGCTGGAAATGTTAATACTTTCATTCATCACACATGGAGCCCAAAGTGAACATTAGTGGATTTTTAGGGGCTTTTCAGAAGGCATGAGATGTTTCTGTGAGTTGGTCCTGAGATGTGGAGAGGTGAGTGATTTCTTTTATTATTTCTCATGGAGAGGGTTAAGAATGACACCTATACCTCATATTTGAACGATTCATAGATGATGGTGTACTTTTGTATCTGTGAAGCAGATTGAACGCATATGTTTGTACTGCCTTTTTGGTAGATTCAGGGCTAGACAGGCCACCTGACTGGCTCACACTCACTGGTTAAGGGAAGAACCATTGCTAGAATTCAGGTCTTTAATTGTGCTCTGTCAATTTTAATAACACCACATTGTTTCATAGAATATTATATCAAAGAAAAGCCAGTTTCACTTCTTTTCTTGTCCCATCCCTATTATTCCTTTCTAAGGAAAGGATATTAGCAGTGTTGTCATTACCCAGTCTGCCTGCCTGCCTGTGTCTACACATCCATCTGTCCTAGTCTGTTTGTTTGTACTGCTATAACCAGTTGCAGACTGAATAATTTATAAAGCACAGAAATWAGAGGCTGCGGTTGTGGCTCAGTAGTAGAGAGCTTGCCTCACACGTGTGAGGCACTGGGTTCCATCCTTAGCACTACATAAAAATAAATAAATAAAATAAARGTATTATGTCCTTCTACAACTAAAAATATTTTTAAAAAAGCACAGAAATTAATTCTCTCACAGTCATGGAGGCTGGAAGGGCCAGGGTTGAGGCACCAGTAGGATTAGTTCTGGTTAGGGCTGCTCTCTGCTTCCAAGACACTGCTTTGGTTCTGCAACCCCCACAGGGGAGGGGCCCTGTGTCTTTATGTGGGGGAAGGCAGAGGTAAGCAAGAGACTACTTGCCTGAAGTCTCTTTTATAAGGGCTTTGATGCCAGTCGTGAGGGAGGAGCCATCATGGCCTAATCACATCTCAGAGGTGTTACCCCCAATACTATCTCATTGGCAACACTGGAATTTTGGAGGGGACACATTCAAACCATTGCARAGTGTGKATTTCTCTATCTACAGCTGTCTTCCATGTCCCTACACAGTGGGTTGTTCCCCCTGCTCATTACAATGTATATGACTTCAGTCTTTAGCCGTATGTTGTCATACATCTAGGTCAGTACATCTAGACCTAATTAATGCCTTTCCTTTGTATGCCTATATTGTTCGATTTATTGCAGAGTATTTGTGGTTTTTAAAAAGAAAATTCAATATTTAATATGATGAAGGTAATGCCAATGTATGATATAATTCATCATAGATTAATAATTTATTTATTTCTTAAAATATATGAAAAGAAGTATAGTGACAGTTTTTATTTGCTACAGGTTTTACCACTTTTGGTCACATTTTTATTTTTCCTTAATTTTCTTAAGAATAAAAATGAATTATATCATTAACCAGTATTTTCTTTTCTAAGCAAATTCAATGTTTTTTTTTCAGGTTATCATATCCGTGAAAAGTCTAAGCAAGTCATAACATTGCTAATGGATGAACAGATGCTGTTTAAAGAGAGGGAAGTGGCATGTCAGACTAGACGACGCACTTCCTACTCCATGACATTTCCTAAAAGATTACCTAGTACAGGTAACTCACCAACAGCATGTGCATCTGCCCCCACACCAGAAATTCCTGCTTCAGAGAAGAAGCACCAGCTTCTTAAGGTGGCAAGACTACGTAGTAAAAGTGCGTATAATGAATGCTGGTTTAAAATGCAAAAGATATCATCTAAGAACAGTTTAAAATATAAAATATTTTAGTACTAAATTATTATTATTATTATTATTATTATTATTAATTGGTATGTGCAGTTGAACCCAGAGGCACTTAACCACTGAGCCATATCCCCAGCCCTTTTTTGTATTTTATTTAGAAACAGGGTCTTGCTGAGTTGCTTAGTGCCTCATTTTGCTGAGACTGGCTTTGAACCCGTGATCCTCCTGCCTCAGCCTTCCAAATTGCTGGGATTACAGGCATGCACCACCATGCTTGGGGCAAATTATTAATACTATATTAGTACTAATATTATGATATCAGACTTCATACTATAGAGAACAAAGATGAAGAATGTGTAATAGAATATTTCATGACTTCAGATTGCTTTTATCTTAGAGTCAAATAAAATGTTTTTGAGCTTAAATAACATTAACTAGTGACTATTCTATTTGACATCATGAGTCAATTTTAATTTATTTGATTCATAACTGGAATGTGAAAGAGTACTGTTTTCTAAGATCTGTGTCTTGGCATATGTACACAACACCATCTGATCCTATACATCAAGAAACTGACATTTCCTAAAGTATACCTCACAACTCTAAAAATAATCCAAACATTCTTCCAGGGTAATACTTTGGACCTTTCATTTTGCCTTAAACTTCAAATCTAGACTATTGAACTTTTTTAAAAAGGGAGTTATTTATAATACTATAATAAAAATCAGGAGAAAATAGAGTGATCTTTTCTAACAAATTGATAGAATATAAAGGAATATCATTTTGTCCTAACTTCTCTAATACAAACTTTGTTGGTAGGTTGTACATAAGGAATGGACAGTTTGAGGAAGCAAAAATATTAATGAAGTATGAATTTGATAACTGTCCTCCACCAGGCGACCAGCATGCTGGTTTCATTAAAGAGGTTCGTGGCATAGAAGTTAACTAGTGAGATCAAAATAAAACACACAGACTCAATTACCTTTTTCTATGACCAGGTCCGAGACGGCTCTCACCTCTCTGGCTATCACCTCGAACCACCCAGTGGGGCAGCAAGGCTTACTCAGGGCTAGCAGGAGAGCGAGAGAGAGCATGCCAGGGAGTGGCCTTTTATTGGGGAACAAGAAATTCAGGGGAAAATTCCATCCAATGAAGGTCGAGGGGGGCAGCATTCCAAGGTCAGGGTCAGTCACACCCCCACACAGACAGGCTCTCGCACCTGGAGAGGGTGGGGATAGCTCCAACACAGTTTGGCCAAAACGCCTCACACCCAATCTGGGAGGTGTCTAATCACGTGCGAGAATGGCTTCCCACACTGTCCCTTGAAAGGAATTAAGCTTGGTGCCACAAATGAGGACACAGTAGGAGTAGGGGTTTGCCTCCTAGTTTTACATGTGGTTATGGACTGAGTGTTTGTACCACTCCCTGCCACCAAATTCATTTGTTGAACTCTAATCCTCAGTGTAACRAGGTGATGGCCCTGGGAGATGATTAGGCCATGAGGGTAGAAACCTCATGAATGGTATTAGTACCCTTATGAAAGAGACCCCAGAGAGCTCCGCTCACCCTCTTTTTGGTGTTGGAAGTTACAACAAGTCGGAAGTCTGTAACCCAGAAGAGGATTCTCCCCAGAACCTGACCATGCTGTCACCCTGATCTCATACTTCTAGCCTCYAAAAATGAAAGTCTGTTTCTTTAAGTCACCCATTTTATGGTACTTTGTTATTAGCTGCCCAAGCAGACTAAGACATCTATTAAGATCCTGAAGCTGGGCATGGTGTTGCATGCCTGTAATCCAAGCAGCTGGGAGGCTGAGACAGGAGGATTGCAAGTTCAAAGCCAGCCTTAGCAATGGTGAGGTGCTAAGTAACTCAGTGAGACCCTATCTCTAAATAAAATACAGAATAGGGCTAGGGATGTGGCTCAGTGATTGAGTGCGCCTGAGTTCAATCCCCAGTAACAAAAAAAAAAAAAAAAAAGAAAGAAAGAAAAAAGATCCTGAAAGAGATGCTGGTAGTCAATATAAATAGCTCATTCCAAGTGTCAGTTAAATGTGGAAATTTAAAAATGTTATTAGTAAAATCAATACAAACCAATCCTATCCCCCCCCCCAATCGTGCTTTTCTGACTTAGTCAAGAGTTCTTACATGTTCATTCAAGACTTATTTATGGATTGGAAAGTAGAAAGGCATTCATAGAAGTTGCCATTGTAATTATAACAATAAATGCCATCCAAATGCTTCTTAAAGTAGTGGAACTTCTTTAGGGGACMCATTTCTTTTGAAATAAATCTCCAAAAGAGATAGTGACCCATTCTKAAATTTTCTCATGAAGGTTTGAATTCAGACTGACATGAACAGCAGAGTAAAATAACCAATTATGACTCATCCAGAGTTTCTTATCCCTTTGCTACTTCTTTATCACCTTCTTGTTCTTCCTTCTTCCATTACTTGTCTCATTTCCTTCCTCTTTTATTATAAACACATAATTATTGAATGTTATTATTTGAAATTTAGATACCCAGCAGAAATTTGGAACTATAGCAGTGAATGAGATAAAGTTCCCTTCAAAGCCAAGTATGGAGGGCATGTACCTATAATCCCAGCTATTAGGAAGGCTGAGGCAGGAGGATCACTTGAGCCCAGGAGTTTGAGCCCAGCCTGGGCAACATAGCAAGACCTCATCGCCCAAAAAAAAAAAAAAAAAAAAAAAGTTCCTTTAATTGTGGAACTGTCACTTTAGTGACAGAGACAGATACTAAACGCACATAAACAAAATAGATATAAAATATAGCAAGTCTTATAAAGAAGGGGAAAATAGGGTCAGGGAACAGAGCAACAGGGATGGCTGTGTTTTAGGGTAGGTAGAGAGGGGAGGCCTTCTGGAGGAGCTAAGTATTTAAACAGACCTGGAGGGTAGTATAGGAGTAATCCATGCACAGCAGGCAAATGCTTTGACACTAGAGCAGATGTGGCATGGGAAGTTGTGAGCTTAGGAAGTGAGTCCCTAAATCGCTATAGTGCTTACTCATTTCTGAGCCATTTTTATGAGTCTTATAAGAAACTATAGTTTATTGCCTTGTAGTCCTAGATTGAAGCTTTTTTTTTTTAACCCAAAATGATACTCCCCAGCTTTATGACACATCTTATTTACCAGGCTGAGCTCTGAGTGATTTTTAACATTTAAAAAAATCATATTTTGTCACAATTTATTCGTTTAATACAATAAACGTGCATTGAAATAAATAAATAGCCCTTACTRTCTTCCAGATACTATCAGACACTTTTCTAGGGAAGGTAAGTAAATTGGGGGTATTTTTGCTCTCATGGAAGTTATATCTTGAGGTACGCTGTGTGCTTTCAAGTCTGTTTCACATAAAAATTTTTCCAAGAGTGTTTTGGCCCATGATGGTATCATTGAATTAAATCTATATAAAGTACCACTTAGAGTGAATAGTGAATGTTTGGATGTAAAGGCMCAGAAAACATACATTGGCGAAAAGMTAGCCTCTTCAACAAATGCTGCTGGGAAAACTGAAAATCCATGTGCAGCAAATTGAAATTAAGCCACTTTCTCTCACCTTGCACAAAACTCAACTTAAAGTGGATCAAGGACCTAGGAATTAGACCAGAGACCCTGTGCCTAATGGAAGAAAAAGTAGGCCCAAATCTTCATCATGTTGCATTAGGTCCTGACTTCCTTATCCTAAAGCACAAGAAATAAAATCAAGAATTAATAAATGGGATGGACTCAAACTAAAAAGCTTCTCAACAAAGGAAACAATAAAAATAATGTGAAGAAAGAGCCCACAAAGTGGGAGAATGATTTTATTACATGCACATCAAATAGAGCACTAATTTCCAGGATATATAAAGAGCCAAAAAACTCAACACCAAAAGAATAAATAACCCAATCAATAAATGGGCTAAGGAAATGAACAGACACTTCACAAAAGATATAATACGGTCACAACAGTTACTAATAGGGCATTATGTAAAATTGTGGATGTGTAACAACGTGATTCTGCAATCTGCATTTGGGGTAAAAATTGGGAGTTCATAACCCACTTCAATCTAATGTATGAAATATGATATGTCAAGAGCTTTGTAATGTTGTGAACAACCAATAAAAAAAGATATACAGTCAGTCAACAAATATATGAAAAAACATTCAACTTCACTAGTAATTAGAGAAATGCAAATCAAAACTACTCCAAGATTCCATCTCACTTCAGTCAGAATGACAATTATCAAGAATACAAGCAACAATAAGTGTTGGCAAGGATGCGGGGGCGGGGAAGGTACACTCATACATTGCTGGTGGGACGGCAAATTGGTGCAATCACTCTGGAGTTGCAATCTGGAGTTGGAGGTTCCTTAAGAAAGTTGAAATGGAACCACCATTTGACCCAGCAATCCCACTCATGAGTCTATATCCAAAGGACTTAAAATCAGCATACAATAGTGACAGAGTCACATGAGTATTTATAGAAGCTCAGTTCACATTAGCCAAACTGTGGAACCAACCTAGATGCCCTTCAATAGATGAACAGATAAAGAAACTATGATATATAAACACAATGGAATATTACTCAGCTTTAAAAGAGAATAAAATTATGGCATTTGCAGGTAAATGGATGTAGTTGGAGAATATCTTGCTAAGCGAAGTAAGCCGGTCCCCAAAAACCAAAGGCCAAATGTTCTCCCTGATATGTGAGTGCTGATCCATAATAGGAGGTGGCATGGGATGAGTGGAGGAACTTTGGGCAAAGGGAAGGGAGGAGCAGGGAGGGGACATGGGGTCAGGAAAGATGATGGAATGAGACAGACATCATTACCCTA